GTAACATTATGCGTTTTGTACTGCTGTTACACAGCACAAAACGCATAAAAATGAACAGTTTCCGTTTAACGTCGTTTTTATGCATTTTTGCATATATGCAGAAACGCATAAAAATCAATAATCATGCACGCTGGAAGCTGAAGTCCATTCCTTGTGTATGCAGAAAAAGACCAAAATGTTGCCAACATATCGATGCCACAACTCATGAACATTCTTGCTGTTAACGATCTGATTGCTGCAAGTTTAGCACAAAAGGGCATGATGCCACCGGCAATTCTGATGCGTTGTAGCTTAGAGTTCTTTCATAATTTCTATATTCAGTACGAATGCAGCGATGGCCGTTTGCATGTGGGTGTATTCAATGAAAGCTGGTATTATCCATGCTATTTCACTGGTCAGTATATCCATATCCGCAGGGTTCGTTACTTTTTAGCAGTTCACCTTGCAACAAAGAAAGAAATTTTTCCTCATTCTTCCACTTAGAGATGAATGATTTTCCGTTTTTCGCCTCAGTTTTTTTTAAATCCGGCAGTTTTTGGGCCGTTTGTTACTTCTCATTTTACTGTGATTTTCGTGTCTGACTTCTCCTGGATTTCTTTTCGTACCTTTTCTATTACATCTGTTTGGCCTGTTGCGGTGCATTTTTTAACACATTCAGTTTTGTTTTCTCAGTAAACGACAATGTTTTAGAATATTAAAAGTAATAAAGACTCTGGAGGTAAAGTTTAAATATGTGTAGAATCAAGGGGGAGGATTAGTAACCGTACCATGTGTAATTTGTAAGAAAAATATTATACTATAGCTAGCGGGAGATCGAATGTACCTAAAGAGGCAAATTTTGGCCTATTAATTAGATTTTTTTTGGAGCAAAAAAAATCTAAAAAAGAGAAGATGGTGGCGCAACCTGTGAGGGAGTTGTAAAGACTCAAGAAATTTTTAAAAAAGTTTTTACATCATTTTTAGTATTTTTTCAGCTAATCAATGGCTGGCTACGCGAAGGAGTGATCATTTGTCCACCATGCGAAGAGCTCTGTCATCCAGAGGATTTTCCTTCGTCTGAAAAATTTGCCTACTGTCGTGAAACGAAAAGCGATGAGATTCCGGAATATGTTGGCGATCCGGCGATGGATGAGCCCTGTGCCGCTTCCATTCCTTATAGCAGTGGCTTTAATCTTGTTTCATTCATAATTCTTCTTGCGCTTTCATCATGGAAATTTTCGGGTTTCTTATTAATACTTTCTTTCGATTGACATTTTATTATGGGTATCATTAGGAGATTTTCGATTTTTTCTGTTAGACTGAACAAGATCGGGTATCAGGCCGGATGAGATCTTTGCAAATGAAGAATTCTCAAAAAAAAATTTCCGATATTTTCGATTTTCAAGAAACATTTCAATTCTCCACCAGAAATAAATAGTCGCGATCCTAGAAAGTTTTGTTCTCAGGGTGCTGATACTGGACTTTGGGAAATCTTCTGGAACACAGTATGAGAAGAAAGACATTCCAGGCCGTTACACCTACGTGCTGTTTTTTTCTACAATTTTTTGTTAAGCAGTTTATAGTTTTTTAAAAAAAAAAAATTATAGTCTTTGTTTATTATTTTTTGTTTACGGGAAATCTAAGATTGTTGTTGAAGACATTCTCTAGTCTTTTCAAGGAACTCTTCTGTGATAAGCGTTATTATTGCATATTACTCTGTTTCTTTTTTTTTTCCTTGAATATATGTTTGATTGGGTACCATAATTTGTGATCTGTAATAAAGTTGAAGTTCG